AACCTTCTTTAGTTCGGTATGTACCCCTACGTGGCGAAAGATGCAAGGAACAGTCCTAATAGGTTCTAGACCGGCTTGATGGGAAATATGACGATCTTAGCGCTGCTCTACGTCGGAGGTGGCATGGTTCAGTCCGGTGCCATCAGCATCGGAGAACTCACCTCGTTCCTTATGTACACAGCTTATGCTGGCTCCAGCATGTTTGGCCTTTCCAGCTTCTACTCCGAGCTGATGAAGGGCGTTGGTGCCGCCAGTCGTCTATTCGAACTCCAGGATCGCCAGCCGACCATTTCTCCTACTAAAGGCGAAAAGGTCGTGTCTGCTCGTGGCCCCATTCGCTTCGAGAATGTGTCTTTCAGCTATCCAACGCGCCCCGCGGTTCCCATCTTTAAGGATCTGAATTTCGAGATCCCGCAAGGGACCAACGTTGCTATTGTTGGGCCGTCCGGAGGCGGCAAGTCCACCATCGCTTCTATCCTGCTACGGTTTTATAACCCTACCGCTGGGAGGATCCTCATCGACGGCAAGGACATTGGTAAAATGAATGCCAAATCGCTCCGGCGGAAGATTGGTGTCGTCTCGCAGGAGCCTGTCCTCTTTTCTGGATCAATTGCCGAAAACATTTCCTATGGCAGTCCTCGTGCGACCCGTTCGGAAATCGTCACTGCCGCCCGCAAGGCCAACTGCCAGTTCATCAGTGATTTCGTAAGTTTTACCAGGAGAATCGGAAGTTTTATATTCACGACCCGTGCTAACCCTCTAACAGCCAGACGGTCTTGACACCCAAGTAGGCGCACGAGGCGCACAGCTGTCGGGCGGGCAGAAGCAACGCATCGCTATTGCCCGTGCTCTCATCAAGGATCCTGACATTCTCATTTTGGACGAAGCGACGTCCGCTCTCGACGCAGAATCTGAGACGCTGGTCAACAGCGCACTCGCCGCCCTCCTCCGGGGCAACAACACGACAATCAGCATCGCCCATCGCTTGTCGACGATCAAACGGTCCGACACCATTGTCGTCCTAGGTCCGGATGGAAAGGTCGCTGAACATGGGACTTACGAGGAACTGAGCGCCCAACCGGACGGCGCTTTCACGAAGTTGATGGAATGGCAAATGAGCGGTGGGGAGGATACGCCCGCACCGACTGCCTCCATCAGCCCGGAGACACAGGAGAAGCTGGAGGAACTGGCCGAGGAAGAAGTAGAGGATGTGGAGACGAGCAGGAAGACCACCGCATGAGGATGAAGCATACAGGTTTGCACATATGAATCCTCCGTGGGACTTAACCTTCTTTCATTTTATTTTCAGTACTGTTATACTATTTTGGTGCTGTAGAGCATTCCCCACTTTGCTTTGTTGATCCCGATGTTATATCATAGACGGGCTGATCGACATGATGTCACTTGTATCTATACCTTCTGTTTTGTATACCTTTTATACCTGTCTAGTGTTTACATAAATCTCTTTTCATGAAGTAATATTATTTGTTGGTTGCAAGATAGGAACCACCTTTAGCAGATTTTCCTCCAGCTGCAATCCCATTCAGGATAGCTCTGGTAATAGCCTCAGGCGTCCACAGTCACTACCCCATATCATCAGCCATTAACATAGCGGTCTTATGTACAGTATAGTCGGAGTCAACTCGACCTTCATTTCTTCAGCTCCACACCCCCCTCAAAAGCCGCACCTCCGGCCTGCGCATCGACCTGCATGCTCTCATCCAGCCCGCACACACGGAACAGCATCTGCGGCGTCATTTCCTTCCCAAGATTCGGAATGCCATCGTGCTTCAGCCTCTCCATAGCCTCCTGCATCGCCGCAACAGCAGGGCCCAGCCCAGCAAAAGGAAAGATGATCATCCGGAAGCCCAGTTCGCGAGCCTCCGCCGCCGAGATAGACGGCGTAGCCCCATGCTCAACCATATTCAACAAGACCGGCCACGGCGCCAGATCCTGCACGATCTGACGGGCCATCTCGCGCGAGGTCAACCCCTCCAGGAACCCGACATCAGCGCCCGCCTCCCGGGCCGCACGCAACCGCGCCACACTCTCCTCGTAGCCATGGACCTGGAGGGCATCCGTACGTGCGATAACGACAATGTCACTGCCGATTCGAAGGCGCGCCTGCACGGCGGCCCGGATGCGCGTCACGTAGGTGTCCTTGTCGACCAGAATCTTGCCGCCCAGGTGGCCGCACCGCTTGGTCTGCACCTGGTCTTCGAGGTGGAAGGCGGCGACTCCCGCCCGCGAGTACTGTTCCGTCGTGCGGGCGACCATGATCGGACCGCCGTAGCCGGTGTCGGCGTCTGCGATGACGGGCGTCGAGGGAGACAGGTTCGCGATCATCTCGGCGTTGGCGCGCATGTCGTTGAGCGTGCAGATTCCTAGGTCGGCTTGGCCGTGCACTGAGGCCGCTGTCCCTGCGCCGGTCTGTTGGGGATTGTTATCAGCTGCTTTCTTCCTATAATTGGTGGCAAGAAGTGAAATGTATACCATGTATAGGGCGTTGAAGCCCACGTTGAGGGCGATGCGCGCGGATAACCCATCATATACACCTGGAGCGGTGATGAACGATTCGGGGTCTTCGAGGGACCGGCGGAGAGTGGTCGCTGCGGTGGTCATGGGCATGGTGTACGATGTTTACGACTGGTGGTGGACGGATTGTGGAATAGCAAGAAGTAGATATATATGTTTCTCTCTATATATTTCTAAGCCGTTTAGCCGTGGTCCGCGGCCGACATCGGGTGGCGATCATGTCCTTTTGTATCTGCGGCCTGTTTTTCTCAATTCTAGTCTATTTGAACGGTGGAGAACGATGCCAGCTTATTTTCCGTTTGATTAGATTTTCTTCAGCTGGGATGAACGAGTGAAAATTATGAAAAATGACGGGTGGTTCCAAAGACCCGCCGATTCGGGCAATTTCTCCACCTCCGTCTTTGCCTTCCACTACTTTCCCATCTTCATCTTCATCTTCAATCTTCAATCTTTAATTCTCCCACCCTCAGCCCTTTTTCCTACCTTCGATCTCGTTTGTTCCCCAGAATGATCTCTGGGGTGTGTCTGTTATAATATCAAACACTTTAAAATCCTCTTGATCATCCTACACCTCCCCCAATGGCCAGATCCGCCGTCGTTCAGGAATACGCCCCTCCGTCCTCCAATACCCTCTCGCTCGACCGCAAAGCCACCCACGAACGCCAATACAATGCGATTCCCCGACCGAAAGGCTATCGCGTCTCGTGGCATGCCAACCCGGCCGTGGAGCTGCACCATTTCGGGCAGTCGCATCCAATGAAGCCGTGGCGCCTCACGCTCACGAAGCAGCTGGTGATGGCGTACGGCATGCACCACGCGATGGACCTGTACTTCGCGCGCGAGGCGACCTACGAGGAAATGGCCGAATTTCACAAGACCGACTACCTGGACTTTCTGCAACAGGTCATCCCGGGCGACATGGAGAACGCGGATCAGAGCGAGAACGTCGTGCGGTTCAACTTTGGGGACGACTGTCCCATCTTCGACGGCTTGTACAACTACTGCTCGCTGTACGCGGGCGGCAGCATTGACGCGGCGCGCAAGCTGTGCAACAACCAGAGCGAGATCGCAGTCAACTGGTCGGGCGGGTTGCACCACGCGAAGAAGGCCGAGGCCAGTGGCTTCTGCTACGTCAACGACATCGTGCTGGGCACCCTGCAGTTGCTGCGGCTGCACCCGCGTGTCATGTACATCGACATCGACGTGCACCACGGCGACGGCGTCGAGCAAGCCTTCTGGTCGACGGACCGCGTCCTGACCGTCTCCTTCCACAAGTACGACAAGGACAACTTCTTCCCGGGCACGGGCGCCCGCGACAGCACTGGCCCCAGCCACCCGCTCAACCCGGGCGCGCACCACGCGATCAACGTCCCGCTACACGACGGCATCGACGACGAGTCCTACATCCAGCTCTTCCGCGACGTCGTCAGCTCCTGCGTCAACGTCTACCAGCCGGGCGCCATTGTGCTGCAGTGCGGCGCCGACTCGCTCGGCTGCGACCGCCTCGGCTGCTTCAACCTCAACGTCTCCGCCCACGGCGCCTGCGTCGCCTACGTCAAGACCTTCAACCTGCCCATGCTCGTCGTCGGCGGCGGCGGCTACACCCCGCGCAACGTCTCGCGCGCCTGGGCCCACGAGACCTCCATCCTCCTTGACGCCCAGAACCTCATCGACCCGCACATCCCGGACACCGTCAAGTTCCGCAACCACTTCGGCCCGGACTACTCGCTCTTCCCGCCGCTGTCCGAGATGCGCAAGCTCGAGAACAAGAACCCCCGCTCCTACCTCGCCGGCCTCTACGAGTCCGTCACCGAGCAGCTCCGCTACATCAAGGGCGCCCCGTCCGTGCAGATGAGCTTCATCCCGCCGGACATTCTGGGGCTCCGCGAGGATACCGAGCACGAGATCGAGGAGGAGACCGCCCTGCGCGACGAGATGCGCGAGGAGCAAGACGGGAACGGTAGTATGGCTAAGCATAGTCGGCGACGGGAGTTGGAGCGGGCGGCTGGTCAGCGCGATGAGCTGTATGCTTCGTGATTTTTCTTTCCTTTTTCCTTTTCTCCTTTTTTCTTGCTTTCTATCTTCGAGATGGGTGGATTTGTATATACAATGGTGAAATTTTGGGTAGGGCGGTATGGCGTTGTTTACGGTGGCGTTTCATCTAGTGATCTTGATGTCTTTCCATAGATTTGTAGTCAGAAAAGAATATGAACATAGGCAAAACACAACCATACATATCCGTATCAACAGGAGTATTAAAAAAAACACATAATTCGACAATTATACCACAAATATAATTTGAGAAAAAAAATATAAATAGAAAATACACCGTACCTGAACCCGAAAGTCTATATATAAACTCCGTACCCAGGAACATACAACCCAAAGACGTATTTTATGTCCCCAGTCAATCAGAGATTGAAGAGAATGATAAATCCCAATTGTCGAGCAGAATCACAAGCACAGGAGCAGTAACTCAGCGGTAGAGTGGTAGATTGCAATGGTGTAACAACTAGCAATTATCTATAGGTCCCGTGTTCGATCCACGGCTGTTCCTTTTTTTTTTCTTTCTCTTTGTTTTTTATCCCTTCTCTCTCTATTGAGAAGTTTATTATTGCGCTTGCTGTGTTGAGTTTGTTTACTTACTGGTTAACCATTCAGTGGAAATTCTTTTTGTCATGTTGAAGGGAATGCAATGTATCCATCCACCTATCTATCCTTATATCTTGAGGTCCAGATCAAGACTCGCATGCTTGCGTGACATAGTAGAGTCAATGTCAAATGTTCTATAACTAGTTACCTTGGTTATATATATATACCTTCCATCCTATACCCAACATCTCACGGAAATACATCTTATAAACTGAATTATTTACTTCCATTTTAGAAATCCCCCTATCAAATATACTACCCCACACATGCTATAGTACTTAAAAAATTATAACGCATCAGTCAAGCATTGGGTATCCAGTACTCCGTACATTGTGGGTGATTGGCCATGGCAGCGGTGTTGAAACGTGGGGGCCTAATTCCATGTGGCCTAGATCAAACCAGACCTTGCATGCGTGGCCCTCTCTTTCCCAGCGCAGAGCAGAACGAAAGAGAGGTCCATACTGGTCCATCTGTTGGTCGGTTGATGCTCTCTGCGCAGGTTGACTAGGCCCCCGGGTTTGCTCATTCACCATGGTTCCGTGGCCGTTGCTACCCTTTCCATTTGTCGGTGTGTGGTTGTATTATATGCCTTGTCTCATCCATCCGCTTGCTTTCTTGAGTGAAATGGGCCAGGGTCATAAAGCCTCATGAGCTCAATGTTTCCCCTGCGCTGGCGTCGGGCTTGGGAACTCCCGCCGGGGGTTCGGCGTGCGGTGCGGTCTCTGCAGTTTTGGTGTGCGCTTGCTCCGGTTCCGCCCCCTGACCGGCCGGGGGGTGATGCGGAGGGATTTCCGGGATGGATGGCAGAGGTTGGCCCTCCAGGATCGGTGCGATGGCCAAGATCTGCTGACGGGCACGCTCGGGATTGTGCGGGTCGCTATCGCGCTCCTGGTTAGTCGAAGTACAGCAGAAAACACGACTGGGAAGGGGGCTTACACGTCCGCATTGATGATCCAGTCCAGGTCTTCCTCACCCTCGTCGGGACCCCCCGGTCCTCCGTGGACCGGGCGGAAGAGGTGAGGGTGCCACTCCACGCCCTGTTCTGCCCGCTTGGCGGCCTCCTCTCGTTGGCGGTCCTCGATCTTCGTTTTCTCATCCGTTGCCACCTCGTGATCTCGCGCGATGATTGCATTGACGGTACTTTGCCACAAACGCTGCGATTCGCGCTCGCCTTGCTGCTCGATGGGTCGAGTGGTGGGTGGAGTGTGTTTGGCATGGCTGGCGTCGAATAGGGTTTCTTTTTGGCTCGACTGCGTGTGTGAGACCATGACTGCAGTATGGAGATCCAGGACAACATACGTGAACATCTCGGAGTTGCATATCCCCGTTCCAAAAACCTGAAAGCTCATATAAAACCTCGCCCGTCTTCTCGTTCTTGATGGTGCCCCCGATCGCGTTATAAGTGCCGGAGAAATACCCCTTCGTCTTGAATTCGATATCGGCGACGAGATTGTTCTCGGGGCATCGCACGTAGCTGTGGTCTCCGAGCTCGTACTTCATCTTGCCGAAAAGAATGCCGCGTGCGTACATGTTCGGTTGTGTCACGATACTGCGGTCGTCAGTTCCTGGCATCCAGTGTCACCAAGCGCCTGAGAGGGGAGACGTACTATCGTTCACCCTTTTCCTTATCCTCCCCACGGTTCAGCAACCGCACGATGGCGATCCCTTCCATCATACTGGCAGCCGAGTTGCCCAGGAATTTACTGTGCGGCTTCAAGGTGCCGTCAATGCGGATATTATGTTCGGGCGCCATGAAGAAGTAACTGGATTTTGGCGGGTGGTGGGAGGTTTGTTCGGAGATATAGTACCCGCGGGTGCCATCGGGGTAGTCCCAGTAGCAAGTGAAAGTCTCTCCAAGAATGGGATTCAGCGGTTTCTTCACCCCCCTGTCCAAACGGAAGCGATTAGCTCGCGAGAAACGGGTGGCAGGTGAGAGGACATCGGACGTACGGAGGTTTGATGTGCCACCCACTCAGGTAGAACCTCACAACAGAAATGAAACGTTCGAGCGGATCGTCAATCGTCGACATAGGTAGGAGCGTCTCCGGATGGGCCATGAAGCTAGAACAGAGAAAGTCAGCCCCGGGTCCGCCGCCACAGAAGGGGGCTAGGGAGAGTGCCTACTTGGTGATGCGCTCCAACATGGACCGCGGCTCGAGGATAAAGGTCGGTAGCACCACCCGACTCAGGTCTGCGCCCGGTCGGAGCTGGGAAATGATATGCGACAGGACTGGGAGGGTCAGTATGAGCACCGATTTGATTTCTGTGATCGATCAAGACTCTCACGGTCACCCCTTACCATTTCCTTGGTCAGGTTCTACCAGCTCATCATCCCCACTGGTATTTTCTACCTTATCCCTAGAGGGTTCATCGAGCGATGAACGAGCGCCTGTGATGTTAAAAAACGAGCCCCAGTCAGCGGACATGGTGTCGGAAAGGAGAGGCGGGGCGGGGTGTCTCGCGGCGGAAGATATGGCGGGGGAAAAAGAAAGAGGGGTAAAAAAAAAAAGTAGCAGGTATAGTGCTCAGCGTTGTCAAAAGTGATGAGAGAGAAGAGGAGGCAAAGCCAACGAGGGTCAAGGGGAAAGCTTGGAGAGTTGGTGGACGACGGCCGGATTGATTACTGAGGGGGAGAGAGAAGTCGGGCCGAACATGGCAATGACGTGTGTGGGAGGGTCGACCACAGTGAAGAAGTCTGGAACTTACTGGCGCCACTGGCCAACGAGGACCGTCGACGGATATGAGAGACGACTGTGTGCATTGTGAGGAGTTCAACAAGAGACAAGAATAAAAGAACAGACAGGCTGCTTGTCACTATTAGTTCTGGGGGCAGATTCTAATGTTATATCTTTTATTTGTTGTTCCGGTTTAGTAGAGTGGATCACCTGATGTGTCCATTCCCTGTAGAGAATGAGTCGATCGTGAGGGGAACTTTGATATCAGTCGAGAAGAGGAGAGAGAAAAGAAGGAAGGGAGGAGAAAAAACGGTGGATATGAAAAGGAAACAATCTAGAAAATTTTCTTCCAAGTACTTCAAGACCTAGCCAACAATCAGTGTGTTTCTCATACGTAGGATGATCCACCGCTACTTCATACTACTGATACTATAGAAATTTGGGAGGATCCTAGCCCTGGTCTTCCCCCCACAAAGAATCCATGAACGTGTTGCTCGTGTGTGGCTATGATGCTATCTTTCCTTTCACTCGGACTTGTCGATCTCATTCATCTAGGGGCATGTTAGCCTGCTGGCGGAGGATGATCTCAACAACGGTGGACCAAGAGAGTATAAAATCAGACATCAACTAAATAAATAAATAAAAACCATAGAACACCAACGAATGAGACCCTACAATCAGGATAACCCTGTACCTGGATCCAATGCCAAGCAAACCAACTCGGTGGTCTCCATTCTCTAGTCTAGTGTCGTTAGAGGGAGAATTTCCCGAAGCTGTGACGCCATCGCCCGAAACAAACAAACAAGTACCATCATCAGTAGTAGTTCAATACCAAGATAGTAAGGTATTAGTCTATGCAAATCGTCTGCCGTAATGGGTCCCTTCCACGCTCTACTAGTTCACAGTTCTATCCCTAAGATTGGCATTCCAACCCTGCCATCGTGCCTCAAACCCGGTCGATCAAGGCCACATCTCCGCTCGTGATCTCATGCAGGAATCCTGGATCGGGATGATGCAACATGACATGGAAATGCTCGACTGCGTGGACCGACTTGAGCGACTTCCAATTCTTAAACCAGATAACCTATCACCAAGCGCACCGGTCAGTCAATTCCTCCCAACGATCTCGAGCTCCTTCTCCACCCATAACGTACCTGGTCAGCCGGCACCCGCGAGCGGAACGTCTTGCCCACATAGTCGTCAATCTCCTGGCGGGCGCGTGGGGTCAAGTCGTCCGTCGCCGGGTCGTCTTCCAGCTCAAACTTGGTCCATACCACCAGATGGACGATGCCGTCTTCAACCCCATACGGCCAGTCATTGAAAAGGATGCGGATGTCCTCTGCACACGGTACTTGTCAGCCCAACCGTGAAACCCTCCGTCGATCATTCTAGCCCAATCCACACGGACATGACGAACCATCATACTCAAAGGGCCGCCCTCGCGGTTTCAAGTCCTCGGCGCTCCCCTCCCCCCAGCGTAGCCGCTCCTTGACCACAAACCGCATGACGGACCCATACTCGGCCACGATCCGCTCTTTGTACTCTAGGTATTTGCGCAGATCGCTGGGGAGTCGCTGAAACCGATCGATCCGGTTGGTTCCTACGCCTCTGTTCAGCGGCCCGCCTAGATGTTCGGTCCGACGGTAACTCACGGATAAACTCCTGCACTAGATCCCACCCCTGTTTCTCGTAGCGGTCGTCGGGCGTCGAAAGGATGTCGATGTTCTTCTGGGGCTGATCTTGAAGAAAGCTTGGGCACTCGGCCGGCCGCTTGTGGTGAGGAACATTGACCAGCCAGTAGGGCAGGGATTCCGCCGATAGGTTGGACGAGGGTTCCAAGAGACTGGCTGCTGCTTTCACATCTGGCTCCTCCAGCTTCTCATCGAGGGCGGTGAACGTCGCGGCCGGCGTCGACAGCTCAGGGGCGTGAGGCATGATGATGAGAAGAAGAAGAAGACAGGGGATCTTAACCACAGCTGCCCTACCCTGAATACAGTGTTGAAAGCGGAATCCGTCCGAGTATCAATTCCCAAACCGAAAATTCATCCATCAACGGTCGAAATCCGATTGCGTAGCGACCGACTGTCGGTCGAGCGATGGGTTGGGGATCGACGATGCGGAGACCCACTGGGCCCAAAACAATTCGAGCAAGGATTGTCCCTTGTCGAGGTACTCCGGTAGACCATCCTGCAGTCACACCGACTGGGAAGGGAGGGTTCCCTACATGGTG